CCAACCTACGAGGTGAGAAACCCTGACCTCTTGAGGTTAGTCTTCCAACCTCCGGACTCCAGAATCTACGAACATACCGCGCCCCCCCGGGGTCCCAGAGGGGGGTCCCCGGCGGGGGTCCCTGGGGAGGTCCCGCCTTCAGGGCTGGCGGCACCCGTCGTAAGACCTTTGCTATATATATATATATATACACATATATGTATATATATGTATATATACATATATATATATACACAGATGTAAGTGTAGGTATACGTGTACATTGAATGTACATACTCACACACACACACATATATACATACATACATACATATATATATATATATATATATATATATATATATCGGAGTAGGGCCCGGGGGCGGCCCGGGGCGGCGCCAGTAATCTCCATGGGGGGTGCAGGGCGCCCCCTGGAGCGTCCGAAGCGTCCCCGAGGGCCCTGGGACCGCCAGGAAAAGTTCGAAAACGCCCAAGACGGCCCGCGAGCGCTCCAAGACGCGCGTAGATAGCCTCAGGAATGGCAAGGATGGCCCGACGACGTTCCAAGAGAGCTCCATGAGGCCCCGAAGGCCTCCCAAGAGGCCTCCCAAGAGAGCCCCGACAAACCAAAATCGTTGATTTATGTATATATACATATATATATACACATATATATACACACATATATACATATATACATATGTATGTATGTATGTATGTATATATATATATATGTGTGTATATGTGTATGTGTATATATATATATATATAATGTTTGGCCGTTTCGCTTTTTCGAGGTTCCGACGCTCCAAGACCGTCCAAGAGTCTCCCAACACCGCTACAAGGCGGCCGAAGAGGCCCCCAAGACCGCCCCAAGACGGCCCAAGAGACCCCCAAAATCGTCCCAAGACGGCCCAGGAGAGCCCCAAGATGGCCCAGGAGCCGCCCAAGACGGTTCCAGGAAAGCCCCGACAGGGCTTCAAGACTGCCTAAGCGAGCCCAGCGGTCCCCAAGAGGGCCCCGCGAGGCCCCGAGAGGCCCCACAGAGGCCCCCAAGAGCCTCCCCTCGGAGGCCCCCAGAGGCCCCCAGAGTCCCCCAAGATGCCCAAAAATGGCCCTGAGCGCGCGAAAGGCCCCCAAGAGGCCCACTGGAGGCCCTCAGGAGGTCGTCCCCGTCATGTTCCCGGAAGGCGGTCTGGGAACATGATTCCGCGCCTTGGAGGAGTATTCTGCGTTTTCCGAGGCGCCTTCCGAGGCGCCTTGGACGACGTACGTATGTTTCTATAGATTGTCCTTCTCCTGCGTACACAATCCGACTTGTCTCACGTATGTTTGTATATGTATATGCACGTGTATGTATATATATATATGCATACACACACATATATATATATATATATATATATATATATACACGTATGTGTGTGTACATATATGTATACATATGTATATTTACACACCTTTTGTGTATGTATGTGAATATATATATATATATACATATATATATATATATGTGCATACACATACATGTATACATATATGCACATACATATACACACCACTATATATATATATGTATATATGTACATATATATATATATATAGAGAGAGAGAGAGAGAGAGAAAAACCGCCCAAGAGTCTCCCAAAACCGCTCCAAGACGGCCGAAGAGGCCCCCAAGACCGCCCCAAGACGGCCCAAGAGACCCCCAAAATCGTCCCAAGACGGCCCAGGAGAGCCCCAAGATGGCCCAGGAGCCGCCCAAGACGCTTCCAGGAAGGCCCCGACAGGGCTTCAAGACTGCCTAAGCGAGCCCAGCGGGCCCCAAGAGGACCCCGCGAGGCCCCGAGAGGCCCCACAGAGGCCCCCAAGAGCCTCCCCTCGGAGGCCCCCGAGAGGCCCCCAAGATGCCCAAGAGGCCCACTGGAGGCCCTCAGGAGGTCGTCCCCATCATGTTCCCGGAAGGCGGTCCGGGAACATGATTCCGCGCCTTGGAGGAGTATTCTGCGCCTTCCGAGGCGCCTTCCGAGGCGCCTTGGACGACGTACGTATGTTTCTATAGCTTGTCCTTCTCCTGCGTACACAATCCTACATGTCTTACGTATGTTTCTGTGTATATATATACACATATGTATATATATATATATATATATATATATATATATGGCCTCCCAAGAGAGCCCCGACAAGCCAAAATCGTGGATTTTATTGTTTTGTTTCCAAAATTTGTGGCCTTCTCGCTTTTTCGGGGTTCCGACGCCAAGGCCGCCCAAGAGTCTCCCCAAACCGCTCCAAGACGGCCGAAGAGGCCCCCCAGACCGCCCCAAGACGGCCCAAGAGACCCCCCAAATCGTCCCAAAACGGCCCAGGAGAGCCCCAAGATGGCCCAGGAGCCGCCCAAGACGGTTCCAGGAAAGCCCCGACAGGGCTTCAAGACTGCCTAAGCGAGCCCAGCGGTCCCCAAGAAAGCCCCGCGAGGCCCCAAGAGGCCCCAAAGAGGCCCCCAAGAGCCTCCCCGAAGGCCCCCAGAGACCCCCAAGATGCCCAAAATGGCCCTGAGGCGCCCCAAGACGCCTCCAGGAGAGCCCCTCCGTAGCCATTCTGGCCCAAGCCATTCGGCTAGCTGGCGGCGGCGCAATTGCTTTCTGCACTCGTTCTTTCTCGGTATGGAGCTGTCTGGTGTTCTTGACTCCATTGCCGCATCGTCGCTATGCGCCAGCGACCGCCGCTTTGCCATCCGAGCGGCCATCATTCAATTCAGTGCTAATACGGACCGCCAGGCAGAAGAGGAGCCTCTTGTCTTTCAAGAGGCTATTCTGAAATCGCTTGGTTGCTCTCGGATTCAAGATGCGAAGCTACGTCTCCGTAATGGAAGACACCACGCTCTATCTAATCGGCTCGGGCCCTTGAATCGCAAGAGGAATGCTGCCGCCCACCCTAAATGGTCCTCCCTCTTGTCTCAGATCACTGCCATCTCCCCAACGCTCCCTCAGCAGGAGACTGGCGACGTCTGTGATGAGGAAATGGCTCCCTCGCCGATTGATTCGTCTGAGGGGGAGATCACCGACCCCACCGCCACATGTATGCAGCTGAGCAGTACCGAGGAAGAGCTGTCTGACCCCATACCTCATCATGATATTGATGTGGCGGCGAGTACGGAGTGTTCCCTTTCTCTGACTCGCACGTCCGACTCCCATCTTGGCGAGGACTACCTGTCCCAGCATCGCGCAGCGGTCCTCCAGGGCTCGGCGGCGGATGTTGTCCCCTCGATGCCTGAGGATGGCTCTGGCGGCTCGACCATGCTGGCAACGGATGAAGTGAAACACTACCTGGACGCGTACGCGTCTATGAGTGCGGGTCGCAAGGCTCAGTGTGACAGCTGGTTGCTCTCCCTTGCGAACTACCTCAAGCCAAGCCTAAGCAATGACCCCACCGGCATGATCCAGTTCATCATCACCGACAACCCTATGGAATATGATTGTAGAACTTAGAAATAGGCTTGTAGTGTTGTCTACAAGGGTTGCCCCTCAGAACCCAAGTGTTCATGAGGGCCGGAGTGTAGATTCGTCAGTTGATATGCATGCCGCAGAAGACAGAGTGCTCCTGTGCGAGAAAACCTTCCATTTCAATTGTCCCGCGCTGCATGGGCTTCGTGAGCACACCTCTCATAGATCGGGAAAACATTGCTGCGACTACTGTGGTCAGGACATCAATGCACATGAGAGCTTCTTGGTATGCGCATCCTGCGACGTCGACGTGTGTACGGAATGCTTGAACAATGCTGCTGCTATGAAAGCCGCCACGGACATGAGATGACACACGTCTTTGTTGTCATGTCCCTAATGGTCCCACTTGTGTTCCCTCCGAGGCTCGGAGTTTGTGGGGATATTGAGTGCCGAGTTTCTTACGATTCTAATAGTGCCTATGTCCTTTCGGTCATGTTGTGTGTATGTGAATCATTTTGGCCCCACCAACCGCCAGGATGCTTCCTGCCCCGCACTGTATCGTTTGTGCAAAAGTCACACCGCACTGCAGGCCAGTTTGCCTCCCTGATGCAGAAGATCTCGTCTCGGTCAGGCGTGCATGCTCAATATTGTTCAAGAAGGCGAGGATCTTCTACACCAACTTCCATATCTATGATGCCTGCTACGGGTGCCACATCGCTCTTCAGTCCGTGTGGTTGAAGTGGTTCTCCGCCGATTACGAAGCCCAGTTCTCGGACACGCGCGTCAAAGTTGGTGGTACACTCATTCCTTGGAGTCAAGTGGTTCCTCACTAATGGCATCTCGCGTGTGACTCGCAGATGGATCACCTCTCTATTGCAAATTTTGTATCCCATGTTGCTGATTGGCGTTCGCTTTCGCAATTGATCTTCATCCAGGCTTGAGCGTGGTTGGCTTTTCCCGTCAAGTTTAGTGACCGTTGGATGTCATGCTGCCCCCACTTGCCCCCCCCACCCCCCACCCCCCCCAAAAAAAGAAGAGAAAAAAAAGACGCCTCCAGGAGAGCCCCACAGGCCTCCGAGAGGCCCCCAAGAGGCCCACTGGAGGCTCTCAGGAGGTCGCCCCCATCATGTTCCCTTAAGGCGGTCCGGGAACATGATGGGGGTGGCGCTTCAGGGCCATCCATGACGTGGCGTCCTTTCCAGTCACGAGCAGGAGGAGAAGGCGCAAGTAGTATAGCTCTCCAGCATTCGGCTTCACGTCCGCTGGCCCCGCGCGAGTGGCTGGGGTTGAGGGGCGCAGAGCGTAACGGCGTGCTTGTGTACATCGACGGCGCGCGGAGGAGGAGTCACTGAGAGCCACTAAAAGCCACTAAGTGCCACAAAGCAGGACCTGGATAGGAGAATATATGATCCCCGCAGAGTACACACAACATCCGACGAGCGGGCCTGCGACCCATAGCACACAAGCGTCATGGAGTCCACAAATTGCCCGCCGACGGTGCCTCAAACGTGTACTAGAACCTAAGCGCGCGCGTAGCGCGCGCGTGGTTCTAGTGTATATATATATATATATATGCCAGAAAAGGGAAAAAGGAGACAGAGAGAGCGAGACGCCGTATGCAGCGGCCACGGGGGCACCGACTGCTGTGACTGCCCAGCAGAAGGAACGGTCTGGAACCAACAGAGTGGCGCCAGCCCTCTGCTGGACCGGTAGCGCCTGCCGTCAGGCAGACGCCGCTTCCTGCTACGATTCGGACGAGGGGGTGCCGACGCTGCTCGAGCTTCACTCGCGGCAGGCACTGGCTTGCTTCGAAGAAAAAATGATAAACATGAACTTTTGGCGCTCCGCGCGGACTTCTTGGATCTGCGCTGTGCTCCCCTCCCTGGCGCGCGTAGCGCGCGCCAGGGGCGGCGCCGGAGGCGCCGCCAAGGGGGCCCAGCGCGGATCCGAGAAATCCGCGCGGAGCGCCAAGAGTTTATGTTTATGGCGTTTCTTCTTCTTCTATTGCTTGCCCTGCGCGCTGGAGGCCCAGTCGAGGGAGGCGCCCGGGCCTGCCTCAGGCTGGCCAGCGGCTGGTCTTGCTCCTTACCGCCGCCACGTCCTGAGAGCTCCGCGCGGCGCGCTCCTCCATCTTTCTCCTCCTCATCCTCCTTGCCCTCCTCCTCCTCCTCCTCCTCCTCCTCTTCCTCCACCTCCCCCGCCTCCTTCTCATCCTCCCCCTCCTCCTCCTCCTCCTCGTCCTCCTGCTCCTCCGCCTCCTTTTCCTCCAGTGTCTCCTCCTCCTCCTCCTCCTCCTCCGAGAGAGAGAGAGAGAGAGAGAGAGAGAGAGACACGGGGTCGGCGATCCAACTCAGTTGGGGACGCGGGGCGTGTCCAAAGAGGCGTGCGCTGAAAAGCGGGGGCGGGTCTGTATGGCGTGTCTTTCCCGGCCGCACTGGGACATAAAAGCGCCCCGCGCCCTTTTACGACACGTGTTCTAAACTGATGCTGCTATGGACGACCCCTTGTTCTGATCACAACGCATGTAACAACAGAGCAAACTGCCAAACAAACGCCAGGTTTTTCCAGCCCGCGTTTAACTCAGACACCGCTTAACACATCTGCGGCCACCTGACTCACACAGCCGGGCCGGTTGTCCCGGCGAACGAGGCGCCCATTGTTCAGGAAAGCGCCCAGTGGCGGGCCGCAGCCAGCTGCATGCAGTACTAAGTCACCCAACCTCGCGCCTCGCGCCCCGCGATGCGCGACTATCTTTAGGTCGGGCATGTCCTCCGACAGGCAGACCTTGGACGCGTGAGTATGAAATTGTCAGACAGTATTCGATCATGCCCCCCCCAAAAAAGAAGAATCGTCCCCTGACCTTTTTTGGACTACTTTCAAAAAATCCTCATCTAGCGGCACATGCCCGACGTAAGACTATCTCCGCGCCCTGGCGCCGACCCCTCTATCGAGGGCGGCTGCTCTGGCCCAGACCGCGGCGCCGAGGGGGAACACCAGGGGGCGACCTGCTCGGGGGGGGGGGCCAGGAACATGCTTCGAGCAGTGGCGAAGCGTCCCCGCTTGCCTACAAGCCCACCATAGAGGATTCTAACAACACTTTGGTTTGCAGGAAGTGTTCTTAGAACCTTTCTGGCTGAAGCAGTCTTGGTTTTAACACATCGGCTTTAGATTCTAAGAACCTTCTTTCTGTTCTTATAACATTTTTGGGTTCAAAGAAACTTTGGTGGTAGGCCTATCGGAATACTATGACGGTCGGTCCCTGCTGACATGTTCCTGGAACCAGCGACACGTCGGCGATGTGTCGCCGGCGATGTGTCGCGAATATTCGCCATCGGGGACCTGTCGCCGCTCTCTCGGCGATGTGCCCTTGCCGGAGAGAGCGGCGACAAGACCTCGATAGCGAATCCGCAGGGTCCTGGGCGGAGCCAGGCCATCGGGCGCTCCTCCGCGAAGAACGGGCGACTATCGGGGGGGCGATGCGTCTCCCCCAGAGCCTGTCCTCCTCCATAATTAACCATACCCCTTTCGCTCTCGGGGTCACAACTCAGCTCTCCCGCGGTCGTTGGGGACGATCCGCGCACCCCCCGGAACGCTCTCGGCGAGGCGCAGCTGCCGGAGAGCATCCCGAGGCTGAAAAGCCGCCGAGAGCCCCCGAAGACGCTTGAAGACCCCGAGCCTCGAAACCTGAGGCGCGCGAGGCGCGCTTGTCTCCGCGCCCCCGCGGGTGACCCTGGACGCCCCCCCCCCGCCGCCCGACCCGCGCGCATCACGCGCTCGCCTCTGCGCCCCGAGGCCGCCCGCGAGTGTGGCACCCTGGAGCGTCCCCGCGCTGGCAGCAGCCTCGCGGTGCGGGGCTCGAGGCGCGGCCACCCTCTCAGCGGCCTTCCAGCAGCGGGACCCCACGAACGGGCACTCTGAGACCAGCGACCCGGCGACAGGGAGTCCTTCCCGACGTGGGCAAAACGCTGCGGGGCCAGAGGGAGGCCCTAAAGCGGCAAGCTTCGGCAACTGTCCAGAGTACGCGAGAGCGAGTTGGGACGCACATGGACATGCTACTACCCTCGTCAAAATTAATCTCAACAGTTGCTGGAACGTCATTTCGATTTCGGCGCGCCCCTCAATGTCGACACGCCGCCCCTTCAATGTCGGGGCGAGGGCAAAGATAGTCTGACCGAAGTTGACTCGAAAGTTTGACGTCGACCGACATTGGAGGGGCGGCGCATGCAAGTACCCCGCACTCATCGATACTCGGCCCCAGATCTTCCGACAAGCAGTTCAACCACGTCAGACAGTTTTGAGGTTAATTTTTGACGAGGGTTGTAGTACCGTATGTCCTCCCTGGAGGCGCGCGCCCAACCCGAGCATATAGTAGAACGGTCTTGTGGCACATCGCTGTGCGAATGGTGTGGCCAGAAAGCGCCCGCCACGACGCATCTGCTATGAGATGTCAAGGCGCGCGCGTCGCCCCTGGGTGTGTGACGCACATCTGGCACAAGTATGCCTGAAAGGGCCCCAGTGCACACAAATAAATACACACGAATAACACTATTCCCCAAATTTTCCCATATTTCCTGGGCTTCTGTCTTCCCCCCCCTTCCCATATTTTTCCCATATATTGTCTGAGGGATCGAGGATTAATGGTGTCTGTGTGTTTTTTCCTCTCCTGAATCTGGCGTACGTAGTATGCTGCGGTGGCGCCGAGGCGTGCCCGTCACGGTGCCGCTGCTCTTCGCGCCCCCGCGGGCGACCGAGGCCGAGAAGGAGGCCCTCGCTCGGCTGCGCGCAGGAGTGGCCCCCTGGACAGGGGCGACCTCTTGGCGCGCGGCCTCCCTCCCTCCCTCCCTCCCTCCCTCCCTCCCTCCCCCCTCCCTCCCTCCCTCCCTCCTCCTCCTCCTCTCCTCCTCCTCCTCCTCCTCCTCCTCCTCCTCCTCCTCCTCCTCCTCCTCCTCCTCCGCCTCCTCCTCCTCCTCCTCCTCCTCCTCCTCCTCCTCCTCCTCCTCCTCCTCCTCCTCCTCCTCCTCCTCCGGGCGACCGGTGAAGAGGGCCAAGGACGGGGCGCAGAGGCGAGGACACCCAGGGCACCCTGCTTACCAGCCTGGAACATATCCCTATCCCTATGCTGGGCATCGCCTCGTCACGATGCCAATATTAGGGATTCCATCATTCCCAACCCTCCCTGTGTTGGGTACTCGTTTTGAATAGAGCGCTGTGGTATCCACCTCCCGCCCTCTCCTCCTTCTTCTCTCCTGTGTTCGCGGTGCCCTGCGGGGCTGCGATCTGCGCAACTGTCGCCACTTTCGTGGGTTCCTGGGAGGCCCAGCGGAGGTACGTCTTACGCCGACCATGTTCAAGCCTCCCTGTCCCCTGCGGGGCTGCGATCTGCGCAACTGTCGCCACTTTCGTGGGTTCCTGGGAGGCTCAGCGGAGGTACGTCTTACGCAAACCACTTTGAGGCCTCCCTGTCCCCTGGGGGGGCTGCGATCTGCGCAACTGTCGCCACTGTCGTGGGCTCCTGGGAAGCCCAGCGGACGTACGTCTTACGCAGACCACTGTGAGGCCTCCCTGTCCCCTGCGGGGCTGCGATCTGCGCAACTGTCGCCACCTTCGTGGGTTCCTGGGAGGCCCAGCGGACGTACGTTTTACGCAGGCCACTTTGAGGCCTCCCTGTCCCCTGCAGGGCTGCGATCTGCGCAACCGTCGCCACTTTCGTGGGCTCCTGGGAAGCCCAGCGGCGGTACGTCTTACGCAAACCACTTTGAGGCCTCCCTGTCCCCTTGGCGCACCTGGCGCGCACCTGGCGCACCTGGCGCGCACCTGGTGCGCTGGGCGCACCTGGCGCACCTGGCGCGTTGGGCGCACCTGTCGCGCACCTGGCGCACCTGACGCACCTGGCGCACCTGGCGCACCTGTCGCACCTGTCGCACCTGGCGCACCTGGCGCGCACCTGGCGCGCTGGGTGCACCTGACGCACCTGGCGCGCTGTTCGCACCTGGCGCGCACCTGGCGCACCTGGCGCGCTGGGCGCACCTGGCGCACCTGGCGCACCTGGCGCACCTGACGCACCTGGCGCGCCTGGCGCGCCTGGCGCGCATGGCGCAACTGGCGCGCACCTTGCGCACACCTTGCGCACACCTGGCACACCTGGTGCATCTGGCGCACCTGGCGCACCTGGCGCGCTGGGCGCACCTGGCGCGCCTGTCGCACCTGACGCACCTGGCGCACGTGGCGCACACCTGGCGCACCTGGCTTACTTGGCGCGCCTGGCGCAACTGGCGCACCTGGCGCACCTGGCGCGCCTGGCGCGTACCTGGCGCACACTTGGCGCACCTGGCGCACCTGGCGCGCGCCTGGCACGCCTGGCGCAACTGGCGCGCCTGGCGCACCTGGCGCACCTGGCGCGCACCTGGCGCACGCGTGGCGCACGCCTGGCGCACCTGGCGCACCTGGCGCGCGCGCAACTGGCGCGCACCTGGCGCGCACCTGACGCGCGGGGCGCATCTGGCGCACCTGGCGCGCTGGGGGCACCTGGCGCGCACCTGGTGCACCTGGCGCGCTGGGCGCACGTGGCGCACCTGGCGCACCTGGCGCGCCTGGCGCGCCTGGCGCAACTGGCGCGCCTGGCGCAACTGGCGCATCTGGCGCGCCTGGCGCGCACCTGGCGCACACCTGGCGCACCTGGCGCACCTTGCGCATCTGGCGCACCTGGCGCACCTGGCTCACTTGGCGCGCCTGGCGCACCTGGCGCACCTGGCGCGCTAGGCGCACCTGGCGCACACCTGGCGCACACCTGGCGCACCTGGCTCACTTGGCGCGCCTGGCGCACCTGGCGCACCTGGCGCGCCTGGCGCGCCTGGCGCACCTGGCGCACACCTGGCGCACCTGGCGCGCCTGGCGCCAGTGGCGCACCTGGCGCACCTGGCGCGCCTGTCGCGCGTGGCGCGCACCTGGCGCACCTGGCGCAGTCGTTGCACCTGGCACACCTGGCGCGCTGGGCGCTTTCTGGCGCACCTGGCACACAGGGCGCACACCTGGCGCACACCTGGCGCGCCTGGCGCGTCTGGCGCACCTGGTGCGCCTGGCGCGCCTGGCGCACCTGGCGCGCGTGGCGCACCTGGCGCACCTAGCGCACCA